ACTATTTAATATGTATTTGACAAGCGCGATTTTATGTTCTACGAACTGTGATATGGAGCGCAAAAGAGTGGTACCCGGAGTATTACACTAAAAGTGCAGTTCATCTACACTTTTTTCAACATATACTATAGCTTTAAGAAAATATATATATGTAGTTTTAAGACACTCTGTATATGTATGCTTATTTTAAAAAAAACGCGATCAGAGCGTATTTTTGGCAATCTACACTCGATGTGTAGCGCGAACTGTAGCAAAGAGCATGGCATGCGCGAGACTGCCCAGGAGGCGGTATTACCGTGGAAGGGAGAATTCCCGGTGGGAGAAATCCAGAGTGGGGACGCTATATAAGCGAGCGCAGGGCGACGTTCCAGGCCTTTTCCCCGGAGAACCAAGCGTGCGAAAGAAACGTTACACGGGTATACTGAAAAGGAAAGAGTCGCGAAATTAACAATCTCGAGACATAAGAGATTCGCGACGGGTATTAGGTTAAAGTAGCATTATTCTAAACAAAACGGAAGCGCGATTATATCTCCAAGTTGTGGAGAGTCGCGAGAAAACTTCCGCGAACAGAGAGTCACGTTTTATATATTTATAATATTATATTAAATATATTTTATACTTTTATAAAGTAAAAGTAAAGTGAAAATTATTTTCTTACCTCGAAATCGCGAGATCCTTCTCCTGTGTCCGTGTGTCGATCCAGATTCATCCTGAGGTTAGTCCATTAATCCATGGGCGTTGATCCAAGGCATCCAGCGGTGACCTGCAACAGAATTAGAGAGGAATTAGCAGCGAAAGAGGAAATTTGTCCAACCGTCTAGCGTTATACAAATAACGTCGTTCCGACGTATTCTTGAGGCGTCGAAACAGTTTTCATCCAGCGGGTAGTCCAGACATCCTTGGGCGTTGATCCGGTGAATCCAGCGGCGACCTGAAAGAGAAAAGAAGAAAGGGATTAGGAAAAATTCCCAAGCAGCTAAGCAGACAAGCAGTGGCGTTAATAACAGCGCGATCCAGACGCTGAGCATTTCATCCGACGGCAGACCAAAGAAGGCACCGAACGGGAATTTTCCTTGTTTGTTGGATGGTCAAACAAACTGGCGACCGTAAAATAAGGTAGGAAAACCTGTATTCTATGTAGAATTCTCCATCTCGAGTAGTTTGTCCGGTCACAACTTAACCTGGCCTGAACCCCGGAGTATTTATTATCCGGGAGGGCCTTACCTGTACAAGGCGGCTCTGTGCGGGATGCAGGTGACATGCCTGCCGACAACCCTTTCCGACCACACTCGTGGGAATCAAAATGGAAGCAAATCAATCTAAAACTAATAAGCATAACTAATAAGCATTATGAGGAAAGCAAACAGGAGGAGGATAGAAGGTTGAACAGGAGGGAACACGCGGGAGAGGAAAGTATAGAGAAGGATAAACGCACTGCCGCTTCGGGCGCTATGAATCAGGAAGCAGGAGAGGCACCTAATAGTGCTCCAGTATATTGTGAAATGAATCCGGGCGAAACGGAGATTGTAGTTACGGCTGCTCAAACCCTCTCGATAAGTGAATATCAAGAGGGTCAAAGGGATGCCTTCTATAGAGCGGACACCGAGCCCTGGTGCGACGAAGATCCACTGGCACAGTCTCAACAATCGGAAATGGAGTACGAGATACAAGATGATGCAAGGTCTATTGCTTCTACTGCGGCATCCACAGCTACCTCAATCCTCGGCAAGAGGAGGAAAGATCAAACTGATGAGGAAAGTGCGCTACCGCAAAGGAAATTAAGACCTAAGAAGACCAAGGTCTACGAGGAAGGCGACTTAACTGGCAAGACAGCAACCATGTCAAGGAAGGTTCAGGATATTCCGCTCCCCCAAGAGTCAGAGGACACTACCGGTACTCTTACATGCTCGGATGCAGAGAGCAAGAAGGAGGAGAAGAAAAAGAAGAAAACGAAGAAGGTAACCACAAGCAAGCGCAGAATGGGCCCAACAATAGAGTCTCAGCTCCGGGAGGTTCCAGTCACGCTAGATGAGCTGTTGGACTTCCCAGTGGTTAATCTCAGTGCTTCAGCTATGGAATGGCTGGACGACATCGACATCATTAGAGTTGGCACATCAATGCAAGGAGGCTTAAGCAGCCATGTCAAGAGAAGACTGAACGTTGTGAAACAAGTTGTAAGGGCCATGGCGGAAAAGATAGAAGATGTAGGTGACCTTAGCTTTCTTCGAAGACGGAACGCGGAGTTGATTGCGGAGCTGAAGGTATCCAAAAGGGAAACCGCTCAACTGAAGAGGGACGTCGCTTATTTAAGAAGAATATAGTGGAAGACCAAGGGTAGGAGCCAAGGAGACCCCACTTAGGGTTTTTACATCTGATAAAGCCTCCTCTCCAATGATCTCAGCGCCTACAGCAGGA